CAGCCAGTGAAAACCGTATGGATCATAACAGTCCGATCTGCAACAATCATGGGGATGGTGCAGGACCAGGAAGTGTTTACTTTCATTGTACAAAGGGTCACTGCGAGTCAGGGGCCAGCTTGATGACAGCTAACAACAGCAAGCATTTATTAATGAGAGATCTAGGGAACTTGAAATGGAGAATGTGAAGTTGGAAGTGATAATGATATTTGTATAAACAATAAGACCAATTATTATTATAATAATAGCTGCTCCTATTAAAAGGAGTTCTGGTAGTGCAGTGGTTAAGACATCTGGCTGCTAAAAAAGGTTAGTGGTTTGAACCCACCAGCCACTCCATGGAAGAAAGATGAGGCTGTCTGCTTCTGCAAAGATTTACACTCTTGGAAACCCTATGAGGGTCACTATGAGTCAGAATTGACTCAATAGTGGTGAGTTTGGTTTGGTCAGCTCCTACTAAATGAAAGGTATATGTTCTTATGATACCCTGAACTTCCTGTGTTATGGCCCCTATCCTGCTATTTCAGGCAAGGTAACAGAAACCACTTTCAACAGAGAGAATTGAATGCAGGGATTGGTTACCCAGGAAAAGAAGGAAGGTAACAACTGAATGGGCAATGGTAGTAACCCAGAGGTTAGCTACAACAGGAAGCTACTACCAGCCATAGTCTCAGGACCAAAGGGAGGAGCCCAGAAGCTAGGGTCACTGGCTAGAAGGTAGAACCACAGAGGGGATTCAGCCATTACCAGAGAAGCAAAATAGCCCTTCTTCCCACCTATCAATCTTCTTCTGATACCTCTCATTGGCTAAACCCAGCCAGAAGCTAGCTGACAAACACATCCTGCAAGAGTCCACACCATCTACTCCCCCGCCACACTGTGATACAGAGAGGAGCAGGTAGGACCAGGGCAGACACACAGCTTCATTGACATGGTATGTTTCATTGCTTGTACCCCCAACACCACTGTAAACTTGGTGAGAATAGAGGCTGTGTCTCTCACCTCAGTCTCTCTCTACCTTCTTGCATACTGCTGGACAAATGGTTCACATGCAAATACATGTTAAAAAACCAAACTAGTATCATCCTGCCTTAATTACCTAGTGCTGCTATGACAAAAATTACCACAAGCAGATGGCTTTAAAGAACAAAAATTTATTTTCTCACCGTGTAGGAGGTAAGAAGTCCAAATTCAGGGCATGGCTCTGGGGGAGGTCCTTCCTTGTGGGACCTCTGGGAGTTCCTGGGTGCCTGCCTGTCTTTCCCTGTGTTGCCTCTGTATCTACTCTGCGCTTTTTAGAACTCAGAAGGGATTACTTCTAGGACCCACCCTAATGGCCTCATTAACATAACAAAAGAAAAACTCTATTTCCAAACAGGCTCATATCCAGAGTTGGGGGTGGGGCAAGACTTCAATTTGATCCTTAACACACCCCTATTTTTCAAATGAGGAAACTGAGGGTCAAAGAAGTGAAGGGCTTTGCTCACACTCATAGGGCGAGTGAGTACAGAATCAGGAGAAATCAAAGCTCAGGTCCTCCCAGTACGCCATGCTAATCTGTGTGTCCACTGCCTAGGAACAGCAGGCTAGATAAAGCTGTGGGAGTGGTACCCTTCAAAAACAGCTGAGCAGCTGGTCCCTGGCAGAGTCTGCAAAAGACAGTGTCAGGATGGGATCTTAAAAGCTTGCAAACGGCCATCTAGGTAAAACGATGGGTCTCTCCTTGTCCAGAGCAAAGAAGAATGAAGAAAACCAAAGATGCATGGAAAAACTTACTCCAAGAGACTGGTACACCATGTAATCCTCAGCCTACACAACTATGAAACCAGAAGAACTAGATGGTACCTGGCTACCACCGTCAACCACTTGGAGAGGGGATCTATGTAGGAGATCCTGCATAGAGTGCGAGAACAATGTGGAACAAAACTCAAATTCATTAAAAAAAAAAGGGGGGGGACCAGGTTTGCTGGTCTGATAGAGCCTGGTGGAACCCCTGAGACTATGGCCACTAGCTGCCCTTCAGGTCTGGAACTGAACACACTCCTATGGCTTCCAGCCAAACAAAAGACAGGCCTATGAGGTAGATACACCCCTTGGAGAGATCAATCACGGGAGAATAGAAGGGCTGTGTATGTACAGGTAGACAGTTGTGGGGGGGCAGGAGTGCATGGAGAGAAGGACACAGGGAAGAGGTAACTATGGGGAGGAAGTGGGAGGGGAGCTGTTACATTGTGGGAAATTGTATTCAATGACATGAGACAAAGTGTATGTGAGCTGCTGTATGGAAAGTGAATTTGCTCTATAAACTTTCACCCAAATCACAATAAAAATTAAAAAAAAAAAAAAAAACCAAAGTCAGGAAATACTCCCACATGTATGGACAGACAGGCACTCTCAGTCCTGGGCCCACTGAGCTTGAGTACTGGGGGCCATTTATAAACACAAAATGTATGTGAGTTTCCCACGTGTCTGTTTAAACATACCTTTAGTATGGGTGTGGGGTGGGGGGTAGAAGGGGTGGGACTCAGTCTCTTCCCATCCCAGGAACCCTGCCTGCCTTCCTTTCAGTTCTACAAAATGAGTTGCCATCGAGTTGTTTCCGACCCATGGTGACCCCATGCGTGTCAGAGTAGAACTGTGCTCCACAGGGTTTTCAATGGCTGATTATTTTTGGAAGTAGATCACCAGGCCTTTCTTCTGAGGAAACTCTGGGTAGATTAGAACTGTCCACCTTTCAGTTAGCAGCTGAGAGCATCAACTATTTGTACCACCCAAGTGCCCCTTCAGCTCTCTCTCCCTCTCAAAGATGGTGGACTTGGCTATACATATGGCTCAGTCTTATAAACAGAGCGATATTTTCATCCTTTTCATGATAAATCCACTTTTAAAAATGTGTGGCCCAAAGCACAGCAGGCTAGAATCCAGGCAAATCCTCCTCTGCGTGGCCTGAGATTAGTATTCCTGTTGCATCCTGCAGCAGCACAACTAAAAGTTATCAGCAGGCAGCCAGCCAGCTTTCCATCTCAAGAACTGCAAACCGTAGATCGCACAGGCACTTGCAGATATTAGAGGAAGATTTAGAGACCCTCACACTGGCTGCCAGCACTAAGCCTTTGTAAAGCATCTGATGGCATGAGACTACAGACATCTTGTGAGAATGGGAAACATCCACTTGCTTTGATAATGTTATTTTAAAAAATAACAACAACCTTCTTGAGCAGATGCAAAATATTCTAGATTGTGACATTTTCTCTTTGACCACAATCCAAGCTTGAGGAATGGGGTGTGCTAACTTCTCCCCCACCACCCTCCCACAGGCCCTGCAGTTGTGCCCAGAGAGAGAAGGAAACTCCCAGTGGGAATGGAAGGAGCATGATCTTTCGTGCTGGCTTCTGAGCAGCCCTGGGTCAACTGAGGGCCATTCCCAGGGGTCCTTTCTCTCCACCTCCCAGAGGATGTTTAGGGTGCCTGGTCTATAAAGTTGCACTAGAAGGGCCCTGCACTTGGTTTAATGCTCTGCTCTTGCCATCTTGAAATTCTTGATAATTTTTACCCAAGAGGCCCTGCAGTTTAATTTTGTACTTTCTACTGTTGCTGTCAGCTGCCATCCTCAACTCATGGCAACCACGTGCACAAGGAACGGAAACACTTGCCAGTCCAGCACGATCCCCATGATTTGTTGCTGCCAGAACTGTTGTGACCCATAGGGTTTTCACTAGCTGATTTTTGGAAATAGACCACCAGGCCTTTCTTCCTAGTCTGCTGAAACCTGTTCAGCATCATAATGACAGGTAAGCTTCCACTGACAGACAGCTGGTGCCTGCACATGAGGTGAATGGCTGCATATTGAACCCTACATGGAAGGCAAGGATTCTACCATTAACCACCATTGCCTCTTCATTTCACACTAACTGGTTGCTGCTGAGTCAATTCCAACTCATGGCAACCCATGTGTATCAGAGTAGAACTGTGCTCCACAGTTTTTAACGGCTAATTTTTTGGAAGTAGACCACCAGGTCTTTCTTCCAAGGCACCTCTGAGTGGCCTTGAACCACCAACCTTTTGGTTGCCAGCCAAGTACATTAACCTGTGCACCACCCAGGGACTCCTATTTTGCACTTAAAAAACAAACAAACTCACTGCCATAGTGTCGACTCTGACTCAGTGACCCCCATGGGTTTCCAAGGTTGTAATTCTTTATGGAAGTAGATTGCCCCATCTTTCTTCCAAGGAATAGGCAGGTGGTGGGCTCCAACCACTGACCTTTTGGTTAGCAGCCAAATGCCAAATTACGTTGTTGTTGTTGTTGTTATGTGCCGTGGAGTCGGCCCCGACTCATAGCGACCCCTCCTTGGGTTTCCGAGGCAGTATCACTACGGAAGTAGGATTGCCCAACCTTCCTTCCGAGGAGTGGCTGGTGGGTTTGAACCACCAGCCGTCTGGTTAGCAGGCAAGTGTCTTAGCCACTATGCTACCAGAGCTCCCAAATTACGTAGCAGATCCCAATTCTACCTCTCAGAAGAGGAAGACCGTAAATTGTAAGATCTAATATCTCTTGTTAGAAAGTGGCTCTCATTAAGATCCAAATGCTGTTTGTGTTTGCCCTTTACTGAAAGCCCACTGGGTTAGTTTAGGGCTGAGGTGGGGGTTGAGTTCCCCCTCAGCGTGCTGCGCTGACATGGTCCCTTTGGGGGTGTCCTGCCCGTGGCACGGGACCCCAGCGTCCTCTGGGAAAACCCAGCTGCGCGATTTCTAATGGTAATGGCTTGCAGCAAGGGTGGCCCCTGTCGGCTTCGCAGCAGCCATAGAATGTGCGGTCAAAGTCAGCCGTTCAAAAGCAGGGCTACAGCTCTTCGGTTAGTTGAGGTCGCTTCTGAAGCGGAAGCACAAACACAGGTCATCGCCAACCCAGAGAATGCGTGAAAGAGCCCAGCTCTCTCGCAGCTGACCCGGGAGGCTAGGAATCAATCCCCAGCAGGAGGGGCGAAGGTAGCGCTCACCTGGTTACCGCTGTCTCGGATGATCTCACTTTTGGCACCTTCCGCTGGGTCTCCATGTCGGCAAACCAGGTGAACTGTGCCACCTGGTGGAATTCAGCGAAACCACTCATGAGTTAGAGTGCTAGCCATGGAAACCAGCTTTTCCAAAAGAAAAAAAATGAAACCATATGGACTCCCCATGAAACTTAGACGGTTCTGGAAAACCTAGACAGGGAAAGCAGCTAGGGTAAAAGTGAGGGGGTGTGCAACCTGCTGGCTGCGCTGATGGCGCATCTGGAAGCCGGCCCTGCTCTGTGCAGGATCTCTAAGCAAGGGGAGAAGTGTGGTCTAGGTCGCCCCTGCATCCCCAGCATGGGGTTCCCAGGCCCAGCTGCACTGTAAACCACCTGGGAAGCTTTTGAAGAGACAGTTGATGCGCCCAGACATGGGTATTTTTAAAGGCTCCCAGGTGATTCTATTGTGCAGCCCAAGTTGAGAACCGCTGACCTAGCTTGTAGCAGGGACGCAATGAATAGTTATTGAAAGGCTGAATCCATAAATGGCATGCATACTGGTCCAGCGGATGCCAGCCCATCATCAATCAAGGTTTATTTAAAGGGGAATGCCTTGGCTGCAGCGGTTCAGAAGTAATCATTACCAGTTGGCTTTCTTCACTTAAAATAGCCTGCTTGATTAAATGGGGTCAGTTCCATGGGAGGCTGCTGGGTACCCACACACCCAGCCTCTCAGTCTCCTCCCTACCACAGCTGAGAGTGCTTCCCCAGTGCTAAGATGCAGTTAATCCTTCCTTGACTCGGCACATAATTAAATAAAGTTCCAAATAGTGCAATATTCCCCCGGAAAGGCCAAAATTGGTTTTAAAGGAGGGAAAAATACATCTTGAGTATCTTGAAAAGTGATAAATTCCCCACCTATTTCCCCAACCTCTGCTGGAAATTCAGTTATTCCTACCGAGGAGGCTCCTGAGAGACAGGGCTAACTGTTTTAGCCACCCCATTGCCACTTGGTGACTGGGGCAGTTGATTGTACAGGAAATCCTGACATTTACCCAGAGGAAGATTTGTATTGATTGAACAATTTACAGGCACCTGGAGAGCCTCTGAGTGTCAAGGTTAGGGAAGGTGAGTTTGAGGCCAGTCATGCTGCTCTAACCCTGGAGGCTGGACCCAGCATGGAGGTCGGAAGTTCAAGGTCCACCCCTGTACTTCACTCTTTACCCCTCAAGTCTTTTCAGTTATTCTCTGGGGCACTGGCTCACTCTCTATCTCACACTTTTTTTTGTTTGTTTTTAGCCAGTTCAACTATTTCTACACATATAATTCAGTGACACGGGTTATATTCATCGTGTTGTGCAGCCATTATCACTGTCATTTTCCCAATGACTCCCTCACCATTATGGGGCACTGGTTCCTAAAGAGGGTCCACATCCAGATTTTGGTGGACTTCCAAGCTCCTCTAAGATTCTCATTGAGAAGACATGGGCTAGAGACCAAAAAAAAAAAAAAAAAAACCCATTACACTGAGTCAATCCCAACTCATGATGACCCAATGTATTACAGAGCAGGACTGAGCTCCATACGGTCTCCTTGGCTGTAATCTTTATGGCATCAGATCTCCACGCTTTTCTCCTGTGGAGACGCTGAGTGAGTTTGAACCATCAACCTTTCACTTAGTAGTCCAGTACAAACTGTTTGCACCACCCAGGGACCTGAGCTAGGGACCAAGTATCCATATTTTATTTCCACTGGTGAGTCTGATGCCCAGGGTTGGCTATAGCCCTTCACTGTTTTTAAGCAGAAAGCACTGTGGATTGTGGGCAAGACCCAAGCTCTCCTGTGAGTTAATTAAATATTGAGGAAAGGCTTCTCCAGTCACTCACTCTCTCCACCTCTAACTGGAAGCTACACGCACAGCTCAGAAATCCGCCACCTGTGTGATCACCAAGGGACTGCTGTCCAGTACCCTTGGCTGTGCTAGCCAGCCCCCTCTTGACCTGTCAGGGACACAGGGTGTTCTCCCCGAGTGGACCAGGCAAGCTAGTTGTGGGCTCAGGGGACCATGGGTTAGCGAGCTGCTCACCTCTCTTGGCTATTTCAATGGCAGTTGTTTTCCCAATGCCACTGTTCCCTTCAGTGATCAAGAAGGCTCCTCCAGGAACTTGGACCTCCAAGTCGTTGGGGCTGAAGTCCTGAGATGCAAACATTCATAGCCACTCCTGAAAGAGCAGACCCACAGGACCAGTGACCACAATGAGCTGGGAACACGAACTACCTTGGAGAAAGAGCCCAATTCTGTACTGGGCTTTCTCGGCTTCTTCCAGCATGCTCCACAACTCCCTCCTTCCTCTGCCTCTCTCCATCCCTCCCTCCCTGGTCTTTCCTGCCCATGATCTTCCTGAACTTTTGAAAATATTTGGACATTCCAATCTTGGGACATCCAAACTACCTTTCTGACTGCCTCTGATATTTTTTGTTGTTGTTTGTTGCCGACTCATGGAAGCCCCTGTGGGTCACAGTAGAACTGTGCTCTGTGGGGTTTTCAAGGGCTGATTTTGCAGAAGTAGATCCTCAGGCCTTGCTTCTAAGGCGCTTCTGGATGGACTCGAATCTTCAACTGCTCAGTTAGCAGCCAAGCAAATTAACCATTTGTACTACGCAGGGATTCCTCTTTTATTGCTACTTAACTGGTTAAGAAATTGGCTGAGGAAGGGAAGTCAGGATGCTGAGGCAGAATGCTGGGGGGCTGAGCAAGAGGAAGGCCCCAAGGGCAAAGTTCTCCCCATACAAGCAGGGGAGGGCCTCAGTGCCTACATCTCTCACAGAAAAAGCTGAGTGGTTTCTCCCCTATTATGTACAACACGGCTGTTTCCCCTGAAGTTTCTGCAAGAGGCCCAGAACCCTCCCACGTGGCCTGTTTACACACAGACTGCCAACAGTTGGTCTTGAGCCCCACACCCTGGTACAGTTCAACTGCCAATTACTCTCCCAGGACACCTGGTGAAGAGCCCTAGGAATGTTTATGAGTTTGGTTTGGTTTGGAAATCATTTCCACAGAGGCAGTCTCTGCGGCTGTCTCACAGCCTCATCAGACATGCTTAAGGGAGTAAGAAAGCTGTTCATCTCCCCACCATCTGTAACTCGCCTTAACGTCCAGGGCAGCTCAGAGAATGGCCTTCCTATTACTTTTGCTCCAGTGGACCAAGCAAGCAAGACTTCTAACTATTCCAAAGCCCTCTTGAAAGTTTGTCTCAAAAATAATACCAAAACAAAGGCTTTGGATGGAACAACCTGAGTTTAAATCGTGGCTCTGCCTCTTAATAGCTGTGTGACTTCCTGTGTTGGTTTAACCTTTCTGATCTCCTATGTCCTCCTCGGCAGAAAGGAGATAAGAGCTACCTCTTGCACAGCCTGAATGAGATAATGCGTCTGGCATTTATCACAGAACATATTGAGAGTTCAATAAATAGTTACCATTAGTATCATTAATAATACTGACAATAATACCAGCCATGTTCCAATTTGAGCTTCTTCCCTGACCCCACAACCTTTCACCTCAGGAGAGGCTTGAGAGCATTTGAAACTGAAAACAAAGAGGGAGCTGGAGGATTTGCTGTCCCCTACACTGGAGGTCCTGGAATCACTCTGAAAGGGTTCTCTTGCAGACATAGGGGTTTCTCATAAAGAGGTTCTCAGAGTTGAGAAATAAGGGTCTAGGCTGGGAGAAGGCTTTGGTGTGGAGCGAGGGAGCTCCCCACACCACATGCAGCCAAAAAAAAAAAAAAAAAGCAAGCCACTGAGAACACTCTGGAAAGTGGCGCCTCAAATTCCCTTCCTCCAGAGGCAGGAAGCTGAGAGGCTTTTCTGTGTGACACCCAGAAAGAGGTGACATTGGCCTCTGGGTTACCACGTTATCCGTATTAGAGACTGTTTGCTGAGGGCAGCTCCTGTGGATTAGATCTTTCCAAGCTCCAGGCTGGGGGTGCTGCCAAGTGGGCAGTGCCAGGCATAGGGTGTGTCTTTCCTGGGGCTACACGACATCAGACCCTCCCTCTGTCCTTCACCTTGGCTCTTTGCCCTCAATGCAAGGATTTCATCCAGGTCCAATCTGTCATTAATAATAAGCTTTTACAAATCCTACCCTATCCCCGTTTTTGGGAAGCATTTTATTTTCATACTTCTTGATATCAGTCCCTGTATTTTCAAATGTCGCAGCAGAAGCAGGGACATAAAGGACTTGTCCAAGGTCACAAGACAGCAGGTGATAAAGCCAAAGGAGATTTTTCCATTCTGTCAACAACCAGCCTGGGGCACCTTCTACTATAATTGACTGTTGCTGGTCCTGGATTCTGTCCCATGGCAAGCCCACATTACAGACTGGAACTGCTCCGTAGGGTTTTCTTGGCTGTAATCATGGGGTCACCATGAGTTGAAATTAACTCAATGGCACAACAACAATCTTTATGGAAGCAGATTGCCAGGACTTTCTGCCATGCTACTGCTTAGTAGATTTGAACTGCCAATAAACAGTTGAGCACAAACTGTGCTTCCTAGGGACCTTTTCTCCTCCATCAGTGGTTCTCAAAGCTTGATCCCCAGATAAGCAGCAACACAGCATTACCTGGAAACCTGCTAGAAATGCCAGTTCTCCACCCAAGTACTTTGGGTGGGAGCCCAGCAATCTGCAAGTTCACAAGCACTGCTGGTCATTTTGATTTAAGCTAAGAGAGCTGTTAAACATTCAAACTTATATCACAAATTTCAGCTAATCTCACAGTAACTTTGGACATTTTCACAGGGCTATTTTTAGAGCTGCACAAAATTTATGCCAAGTATCCTAGGTAAGGTCAGACCTCTCTTAAGAGATAACATACCTACAAACTTTTGAAATGCAGCGTAGTGCCTAAGGCATTTGACTGCTAACCAGAAGGCTGGCAGTTCGAACTCACTAGCCACTCCTCAGAAGGAAGACTGGGCAATCTACTTCCATAGAGATACCGCCTTGGAAACCCAAGGAGGGGTTGCTATGAGTCAGGTTTGACTCGATGGCAGTGAGTTTGGGTTTTTTTGTTTGTTTGTTTATTTGTTTGTTTAATTAGGACACAGAAGTCTGGTTTATATCACTTTGATAGTTAAAAGTCCTTCTGATCCAGTCAACCCAGAACCAACCAACCATAAAGAAACCAATATCCCATAGTCACCAATGAATTATCTTTCCCCCAAAATTAAAGACTTCTCACTTAACCAATCACTCAGAACTTTATTAGCAGTTTCCTAACTGTCTTTAAAAACCTTCCCTTCACTTCTCTGCTAGCAAATTAATCACCCAATAAGCCTTGTTTCCCACCAGCCACTCCTCGAAAGGAAGGTTGGGCAATCTACTTCCGTAGTGATACCGCCTCAGAAACCCAAGGAGGGGTCACTATGAGTTGGGTCCCACTCGAGGGCACATAACAACAACAACAACAAGCCTTGTTTAAAGAACAGCTTTCTCAATTCGACAGAACCTTGGTATTTAGTGTTTCCCAGACCTCCTGATAAGAATCACCAGGAGACAAGCTCTCAAATGATCTATGTTCTCTCCTCACCCCTCCCCACACACACACAAAACCAAATATGAAATTTGCTTAGGTCCCTCCCATACCAGCTAAAACTGCCCAGGTAATTCTTATGCTCAGGCAAGTTTAAGAAACAGTGACTAGCTCATACTGCCTAGAGGCCTGGTGGTGCTGTGGTTAAAGCATAGGGCTGCTAACTAAAAGGTCAGTGGTTCAAACCTACCAGCCGCTCAGCAGGAGAAAGATGAGGTACTCTGTTTCCATAAAGATTTACAGCTGTGGAAACTCTATGGGATAGTTCTACTCTGTCGTATAGGGTTGCTATGAGTGCAAATCGACTTGATGGTAGTGGATGGGTGGGAGTGGAGAGGACCAATCAAGGAAGGCTTTATGAAAATTCTTGTGCGCCAAGAAAAAGCATTATAAACCCAAAATACAGGCTCTTACACTGGAATCAAAATAACATCTCTCTTCCTCAGATTCACTAAATGCACAACAATAGGGAGGCCTTCCTAAGCTTTGCCCTCCAATTTGCTGTGGTCTCAGGCCTCTGGCCTGACTTCTACCTTCCCTCAAAGCAGGATCAAGGTAGAGAAATCAGGGTGAAAGAGTCTGGCGAGAGATTCTACAATCCTGCTTTCCCCAGTACTGGAAGCTAATACAAGCTCTTCATCACAAAAAGTTCTGTGCAAGAGGCCAGGAAATAGAGGCCACTGCCAAATGACACCCCTTTGAAAAAAATGGAGCTGACATTTTATTCATCTAATTTCAGTGGAACGGGGCGGAGGGTACACCTCCCACCATTTCTTTGCATCAGTAGGCTCTGAAGGCATTGTGTAGTTTTTCCTAAACAGATATGGGGTGAAGAGTAGGGAGTAGCAGCTGCCTCCTCTAGGAATTACTCCTTGTGTCATGAAAATCTGCCCAGGCTGCCTTAAACCTGCCGCCATCAAGTTGACTCCAATCCATGGGAACCTCATGTGTGTCAGAGTATAACTGTGTTCCACAGGGTTTTCAGTGGCTGTTTTTTTTGGGGGGGTAGTAAATTGCCAGGCCTTTCTTCCAAAGTGCCTCTGGGTGGACTCGGACATCTAACCTTTGTTAGCAGACTGCTTCAGGAACAGTGCAGGGAGAAGTCTCTGGAAGATGGCTGGGCTGCATATGAGAATCACCTGAGAGATTTTTTAAAAAAATAAAATGCCAGTCTTTGGCTCTCTCTCACTGCTGAGTTGGAGGGACCTCTCCTTGGGGTTCCCAGGCAGCATCACTAGAAAAGTAGATTGCCCAACCTTCCTTCCAAGGAGTGGCTGGTGGGTTTGAACCAGTAGCCTTCTGATTAGCAGTTAAGTGCCTTAGGCACTATGCCACCAGTGCTCCTAGTCTCAGGCTAGTGCCCAAAAACTGAATCAGAACCTCTGCGGGTGGGACCAGAGCACTGGTATTTTTAAATCTTCACCCTGATTTTAATGTACCGATAGGGTACAGAACCACTATCTTAGCCAAATTAATTCAAAGACCAAAAATTGGTGGGCTCAGCTTCCGCCATCCCTGGCTTCTCCCCCTTAATGTGTTACCCTTGAAAATCACAATGAGAAGGCAGGCAGACTATTGACCAAGAGCACACAGGGTGGACAGCCCGCACAGGCCCTATCAACCCTGGCTCTGAATGTTTTAGCGGGAAGCACGGGTTGCAGTCCAAATGCCGCATTTTATTAGTGGGACATAAACACACCCAAGAAGTACTAAGGAGTGGTTGTTAATTTAGAACTGGCGGGACAGACACCGAAAGCAACACCATGAAACCCGGCCCCAGTGAACACGCTCTGCCCCTCCCAGAGTTAACTCCGGCCCGAGAGCGGCGCCCGAGCCGCCCTGCCTGGGCGGGGCCTGGACGCTAAACCCCGCCCCCGACACAAGCTCCGCCCCTCGGACTTTCTCACTGAGTGGGAATGCCGAGAGCTGGGCGGCTTCCTCCACACTAACAGGATATTGTCGGATAGCGGGAGCTGGTGACCCCGCGGGCTGGTTCCCGCCAACACTGCTCGCTGCCTCCGGAGCCAGTTGAGAGCCTGGCGGGTCCGACCCACCCCTCCAGTAGCAGCACCCTCAGCCGCCGGGCCGTCTTCCTTGGTGTATTCGCGCAGCCCCTTGGCGAACTCCTGGGCAGTGCGGTAGAGGGACATGGTGGGGCGCGCTGAACGCGGAATCCCGCGATCCTGAACTCCCTCCCCCGGCACAGCCCATCGGGAGCCGCTGCGGTTACATCATCCGGGTTATGTAAGAGTCCCGGCCTGCAAAGTCTTTCCTTTACGGAGAATGCGGCTGGGTCTCCGAGCCGGTCCGTCTTCACAGCAGCTGAGGACGCCTCCCAACCTCGGCTTTTGAGAGCACGTCTCTGAGGATTTGGGCATGCAGCCCTACTGTGGATCTTCGAGATCCACATAGCCACCTCGGGGTGGAAATCGGGCGTTCAGTACGTGTTTAGGGGACACCTGTCCGCTGGGTATGGTGGGGACGCAAACATGGCACCAAAATGCACCTCCTAGAATTTGGTGACCCATAAAATCATGTGAGCCAAGAAGATGAGGCTTAGAGATTTCTCCATATAATTTTTTTCGTAAGGATTATTGTGATAACTAGCATTGTCTAAGTTCCTACACACATTATTTCACTTAATGCCCCCTAACTCAGCGGAGAGCACAGTCAGGTTCTATGAGTCAAGATGATAACATCACAAGTGACAGCTGGCAAGAGGCAGAACTGGGGCTCCAGTGGTCTGTTTCCTAAGTCCAGACTTTTCCCTCTAGTCCTGCAACTAGTGACGGTGCCAGAGGGGACCTGGTGTCTCACTCAAATCTCCGTCAGCCCCCTCCCCTTGCCCAAATAAGCAGTGTAAATTAGAGTGTGATAGATGTGCTGACCTAGATGGCAAACAGGTCATCTGGCCTCCTTCCAAATCCTCTCTGGGAATCACCCAGCCCTCATGCACCCTTGCCCACATCTGACCCCCATCTCTACCACCTAATCAGAGATGGGCCTTCCTGCTGTTTTCCTTACCAGTCACTTGGTTACATTCTGTACTGGTTTACCCCCACCCCCACCCCCAGAGGCTGGGCCACTCTTATGTAAGATGTGCTGAGTCCTGATGATTTAATGGCCTCATTGCCCAGGATATAGGATCACTGTCCACCCCGCTCCACCCCCAGTGGGTATGCTTTCATTTCAGAATAACTTTTTTCGGAAGGACAGCTTGCTTCTCTGAACAGGACTCTGAGGTTCCACCGCATTGTCCTTATTCCTGACAGAGTGATGAAAGGAAGTTTAACCCAGTGGCATCTTGTAAAACCATCCAGCCTAGTGTGGTTTTTAATGCCTGTCGGGTTTGGCTAGGAGAATATTTTAGATCCCCAGATTTCCACAGCTGTGCTTTCTACTCTCTTCTTTGTGTCAGTGATGGAAAAGGTGTTAGTCTGCTCCAAATCCCTCACCTCACCTCACGAAATATGCCTTTGCTTACACAGAGGGCTTGAGAAATAGTTTTGAACCACAAAGTCTAGTGAAGACTTCACAGCACCTTGAGGAAAACGGGTGGGTGAAAACCCAGGTCTCTCAATTAGCTGTGTGAGGCTAGGCATAGGCAGGCTTAGCAAAATACCTGGCTTCATAAACCAAACCAAACCAAACTCACTGCCATCGAGTCAGATCTGACTCATAGTGACCCTTCCTTGGGTTTCTGAGGTGGTATCTCTACAGAAGTAGATTGCCCAACCTTCCTTCTGAGGAGTGTCTGGTGGGTTTGAACTGCCAGCTTTCTGGTTAGCAGTCAAATGCCTTAGGCTTCATAAGAGGTGATAAAAAAAATCATCTCCTTCCTTAAGTTGTTTTCTCATTCCTTGTTCGTACTACACTACAGACATGCAGTGAACATTCAATATATACACGATGTTTAGCCTCAAATACCCACTAGGTACCAGACTAAAACAGACTAGGAAGAAAGTGCTGGCAGTCTGTGTCCAGAAATTGGCTAATAAAAACCCTATGGATCACAATAGAATACTATTCAGTATAGTGCTGTAAGATGAGCTCCCTAGGTGGGAAGGCACTCAACAATGGACTCAAACCTACCAGCGTGAAGACGGCACAGGACCAGCCATTGTGTCATTCTGTTGTCCATAGTGTTGCCATGAGTCAACTGACTGGACAGGAACTAATAACAACAAGAAGTACTTAGCTTTATACACTCTTCCATAGGTGGTTTTTTTAAAAAGGCACCCTTTCTCTCAATTCTTTTACACTCCCTTGAAGATAAATAACACAGACACAAAAAGAAAAAAAGGGCAGTGTGGGGTTAATGGGAAAGGGCTCCAGTTTAAGTAAGAGTCAGCTCATCTGGATACCAGTCCTGCCACTGGTTCCCTTTGTGCTCTAGGGTAATACACACTGAGGTGCCAGGCATCAGGGATCTCCATCCTCACAAGGTGGTTCTTGTTATTAGCCCCATTTTATAGATGAGCCAACTGAGACTTAAAGGGCTGATTAAGTTGGCTGAGGTCACAGTGAATACATGGTGGAGCCCAGGCCATATGATTCTGAGCCCAGACTCTCACCCATTCTCCTTACCCACTATCTCCCTCGCACAGTACTGTATGGGGGCAACACTCTAGCCTCTTTGGGCTTCAGTTTTCTCATCTAAACAAAAAAGGGCAGCCTAGATGACATGTGAGGCCCCCTTCCAGCTCTGCCTTTAATAAGAGAATTACATAAAGATGTTAAATAAGTTCAGCCAAGGTACTTGTAAGAGTGACATCAAAGTGAGTGCAGTTGCTCCATTTCATATGGGTAGAAAGCCTCTAAAATAATTCTTATGTGTCCCTAGCTCCAATTTGCTGCTCAAAAAGCCAAACAAAGAAATCATCCTCCAAAGTTTCCTTCCAATTGATTTAGAGTACTGAAGTTCATTTTGGATGGAGAAGCAGAAGGCATGAACTAAGAAATTCATGCTTCCTGCACAACAGAGATGTGTGATGGGAAGTCTGCATGTTTCTCTCTCTCTCTCTCTCTCTCTCTCTCTCACACACACACACACACACCAGTGTTCATATATTGCCTTCCACTGAAGCTCAGTACCAGTTTCTCTAGCCAAGTTGTCATGGCAACACCAGCTGCCAATGAGATCATGGAAGACAGGGTCATAATGGCAATGGTGCCTTAATATTTTACCTAGCAAAACCACTTAGTTAATAGGATGAATAACTATAAATCCATAGGAAGCTCAGGCACCATTTCGTGTAAGTATTTAGTGTACGACTGGGGGTGGGGAACCGAAATGAAAAAGAAGGGAAAGGAACAAAAAGGAAGAGAGGATGAGGAGGGGGTGGGGAAGAAGATCTGTGTGCTGATCCTTGCCAGTCCTCAGTGGAGATCATGCATAGGACCTGATCTTGCCTGTGCACCAATTAAGATACTGGTCTCTTTAATGACAAGAGGAAGGGGGTGGGGGTGTTGCAGACTCCCAGCCTTAATCACAAAGGGCTTCTAAGAAAACCAAGGCACTGTTTTATGGTTCACATTAACCTGGTAGACAACAACCCACCCTCCATTTGGTGGCTCACTGTGGCCTGTCCTGTTCAGAAACACTTTTCTGGTTGCCTCCCTTCATTCCTTGATGTCCATCAGCTCCCACAGACCAGCTCACCCCACGGCTGACTGCTGCCCATCCGGACAACTCCCCAAAGAACAAGTCCATTGCAGTTAAGTTTTATCTTCTGTTCACAGAGGTTAATTCCACTGAGTGCTTCTGGCAAGAACCCTGGGGAACAAGGCAGAGAGGGACTCAATTTACCCTGAATACCCATTCGTATCATTGGCTTTTATAACATGTATGTGAATTACTTAAATAAAAATCACAAAAATCCGCTTTCTTTCCTTAGCCTTGTTCCTCCTGAAAAGACTGGACAGGTTGGCCAACGGTGCGGCAGTCCTGAAATCAGGGTTGAGCAGTCTTCCTGTAACGGAGTTATTAGAAAGTGATTTCCTACAAACGGGGCTTTTTCTGGTCTTAAACACGCATGGATCTTTTTCTAGGGCTCCTGTTGCATGTCAACCAGGTTCTGCCCTAAATATAAAAATCAGCAGATTTGTCCTGGTGGCGTTCAAGGGCAGGAGAATGACAGCCTGGAGGATGCTCTGGGAGGCTGTGTAACTCACCATCACCAGTGCCCAATGGACCACCTACTGTCACCATTGGCCTCAGGAGAAAGGTCACAGCACAGTCCCCAGTACAGGGGGAGAGGATGCAGACGTGGTATGGCACAATGGCAAGACTGGGATCGAGGTCAGAAGACCTGTGTTCAGCCTGTGCAGAGGAGGCACTCACCCCTCTAAGCCTATTTCCCCTCTACAGGAGAATATAGTTGTACAGTATAGTATACAGTGTATAGTTGTATAGTGTATTGTTGCTGTTAGCTTCCATCAAGGTGGCCCCTGACTCATAATGACCCCATGCACAACAGAGTCCTGGCCCTATGCACAACAGAATATAACGCTGCCTGGTCCTGTGCCACCCCCATGATTGGTTGCAGATCTGACTGTTGTGATCTGCAGGGTTTCCATTGATTAATTTTCAGAAGTAGATCACCAGGCCTTTCTTCCTAGTCTGTCTTGGTCTGAAAGCTCTGCTGAAACCTGTTCAGCATCATAACAACATACAGGCCTCTACTGAGGGATGGTAGCTGAGCATGAGGTGCACTGGCTGGGACTTGAACCTGAGTCTCCCACATGGAAAGTGGGAATTCTGCCACTGAACCACCACTGTCTCACTAATAGCAAAGGAGGATGAAATAAAGGGATTTATCTCATAACAAATACTCAATTCTTTTCTTACTATGTGCCAAGCACCATACTATAATCATTACAAATGAGGAAAATGAGGCACAGAAAATTTAAGTGGAGAGTCCAAGATCACACACGTCCAGAAAGTAGCAGAGCCAGGATTCCATCAGTACTCTGGCTCCAGATTCCATGAACTTAACCCCTTTTTTGTAAGGGTAGAGGACATTTCCAATACAGGCTTCTCGATTTTGTTTCAGTCACTGCTGTAAGAGTGGAAACTTCCACTAGCATCCCCTCTCCTTTCTTGGTTGGTTGATTTGTTCTTCTTTGTGACTGGGTGACTTAAAAGTCC